GCGGGCTGTTCACTGCCGTGCGTAATGACGCCTGGTCAGTGTAAACAATGAAGGGTCTATCTCCTAATAGATAGACTTTGAACTTCGCGAGTACATACTTCATGGCAAGGAGTTCCTTGTCATGCACTGGATAGTTCCTCTCAGCTGGTTGCAGCTGACGCGACTGATAGCAGACGACGCATTCAACGCCTTCAAGATCGGACTGCAATAATGCACAGCCGATTGCGAAATCGCTGGCATCACAGACCACATGAAATGGCCTGTCCTGATAGGCAATTGCTAGGACTAGGGATTGTATCAAGCTCTGCTTGATACCATCAAAGGAGCGTTGACATTCAGCGTTACATAACCACCTCTTGTTCATTTTCAACAAACGAAAGAGGTGTACAGTCATCTCGGCGTAATTGAGTGAATACTTATGCAAATACGCCGCTAGACCAAGGAATTTTCGAAGACCTTTGACATCAACCGGCACAGGCAAGTCGGTGATCGCCTTGATCTTTTCGGGATCAGGACGTACACCGTTCTTACCAACGATGCACCCAAGAAGTGGTTTTTCGCTTGCTGCAAATATACACTTCTTGAGGTTGGCATACAATTGATGCTTTCGCATGATTGTAAGAACCTGTCGGACTTGGTACCTGTGAACCTCAACGTCCGACTTTCCATCCATAGCCCGACTATGGATGAATACGTCATCGAAATAACTCGGCGCGAATTCTCGTACTGGTCTCAACAGATGTGATACACATCTGTTGAACGTGGCAGGGGCATTACTAAGCCCTTGTGGCATTACTAGCCATTCCCAGAGCATGCCGCTAGGCGTGCTAACTGCGGTATAGGGTATATCCCGTTCTCGCATAAGGATTTGATAGAAGCCATCCATCAAATCCATGGACGAAAAGATGGTACTCTTTGACATACCATCAATGATTACGTCCTTCCTTGGTATCGGCGTCTGAGCCGGTACCGTTGCAGCGTTCAATTTGTTAAATGCATGCACTATCCGCCACCCTCCTGTTGCTTTTCGCACACAGAAGCTCGGGGAGCTATGTGGGGAAGTTGATTCCCTCACATGGCCCGCAGCTAAACGATCGGCAAAGAACTTGTCGATCGCAAGTACTTGTTAACGAGGCAGTGGCCACTGCTTCCAGACACAGTACTTCGAGCCTGGTTTAAGGTCGACCTCGTTTTGAATACCTTTATCCTTCGGTAATTCGCACGGAACAGTTTCAGGGAATACATCCTTAAATTCAACCAAATCTTCATAGAGAGGATTTGTCTTGAGCGATTCCCACGATTGGGAGTCATATCGCTCAATTCGTGTCTTTTCATCTAGGACACTCTCGTCCATCGATGAACTACTGAGAACTCTCTCGTTCTCAGTAAACACTGTTGCTGACCTTATGTCGGCTACACACTCGTCGTCAGCGACGAGTACGCAGATCTGCTTGACTTTGCCACTACGCAGATCACGCAAGAACCTTTTATGTTCGAGCGTTGGCAACTGAGTGATCTCCGAAGTCAACTTCGGAGGCGCAATCAGATCAAGTGTATAGCGCCTACACTTGATCCGTCATTGACTAGGACATTCAATGTCTCTGTCATTTCCTGGGGACTTATTCCCTCAGGCCTCGAAGCACTTATTCCTTCGGCTTCCCGGGGACTTATTCCCTCGGGTTTCGGGGAACTTATTTCCGCCGTATTTGCAATATCGGGACTTACTCCCTTAACTTCCTCTAGCTGTGGTTGCGCAACTACAGCGAGATCCTCTACGAAAGACTCTCTAGTAGATCTAGGATTATCGTTTTGCTTAACCTGAGCGATCGATTGTTTCTCTTCTAGATGTTCCCCGCTAGGGATACATCTTTGTCCCGGTCCACTCGACTTATTCGAGTGGTGGACCTTCGGCGCAGCCTGTGTTTCCTCACAGCCGCCGGAACTTTGCTCCGAAGGTAACCGTTTGGTACACTAAGGTTTTGTGCAGTCGTACTTACGACCGTACCACAAGTGAGGCCATCGCACTCACTCGTAGTGCATCCACACGCTTGTGGACGCTCCAAAACTTTCATCAGATGGCCATCTGATGAACAAGCGGCAGGCATCGTTACTGTTCGATGTTGCCAGTTTACCCGTGGTTCGTACCTTCTGAGCCACGGTATTCCAAGGATGACATCATATTTGTCATCCAAATCCAATACGATAAAGTCATCGTCATATTGGGTATCTTCTAGCGTGTAGTGAATCTTCACTATACGCTTCATGACGGTTACGGATGCGCCTGTCGCAAGACGTACCGTCATCCTCGTTGGAGGTGTGTCACATTCACTAAACTTAAAGTGACCATCTTCTAGCGATTGGTGGCGCACATAATTGTTGGACGCCCCACAATCGACTAGAGCTCGGAGGGACAACTTATTTGCCACTTCGAGTTTCAAGGTAATGAGTGAGATCTCATTACCTAGAGCAGCAACGCACAAAGTTTGTGTGCTGGGAGCAACCTTCGTCAAGAGGCCTGCGAATTCTCTTGACGTTGCTGGACCAGTAGGGTGCTCCGCACCTATTGATCCTGACCGTTTTTTGACGTTCCATCTCGTTGTTGCGTCTTTGAACCAACAGCGGACCCGCGTCCCTGCCCCTTTCTCACGGGTGGACGGTCACTACGCCCAGTGTTGCGAGACACTGGACGAGGGGCACTACACTCGTAAGCGTAGTGTCCTGTCTTTTGACATCTGTTGCATCTCTGCAACTTCTTGTAGTCTATAGAGCGAGCCTTCTCGCTCTCTACATAACAGAGTTCCATCGGCTCTGGACCTCCGTTGTCATATCGTCTCGGTTGACGATATTATGTCGAGCTGGCGCGAGCCTGTCTCAGACTGAAGTCTTCCTGTTCCGCAATGGAAATGGCTTGTTCTAGTGAATCTAGTTCAATTCGGAACAGGTGAGTCTTGACGGGACCATCCGCAAGACCCTGCATGAACACCGAAACCAACGTGTGTTCATCAATCGGGTTGGAACTTATACAACTCGTGAGATGTCGTATATGTTGCGCGTAAGCGTGCACATCACGCTTACCCTGCTTGAGCTTCAAGAGTTCAGTTCGAGCTCTGAACTCAGCTCTAGGCGGTTCAAACGTTTGTCTGAGCCGCGACTTGAAGACTTTTCAACGACCCAAACGCATATGGGTCGTGCAACTTGAGCCCCAAAGCCCAAGTCTTGGCACGTCCTGCCAGATTTGATTGGGCAAATGTAACTTGCCTTTCCCCGTCGTCGATGCGACGCGCCCTCATGGCGTCGTCTAATTCGACAAACCATCTCAAGAGGAAGTCCTCTTCGACTCCCCTATACTTGGAAATGTCAATCTTCAAGGTTTCGTGTCGACGCGAGTGCATCGACCCGCCAGCAGCAGCCTGCTGCTGTCTCAACAGTTCAAACTGTTGAGCACCCTGTTCTCTCAACAACTCTGATTGTTGATAACCTTGTTGGTGAAGCAAGGCTACTTTCTCGCGTTCAGCGTCAAGTTCATTTGAATAAACGTGGCGATAGTAGCATGTTGGGCATCTCTATTGAGAGCCTCTAGCATGATGCTAACAGCATGGATGCCCATGGTTGAACTCATCCGTTCAACCGTATCCCATTCGACATTGCTCAAATGGGAGTAGCCGTCACGCGTACCGTGAAAGCTTTGGTCATCTTCATCATCTATCATATTCATGTTAGATGTGAACGTGGTCCTTGGACGGACTACGAAGTGCTACCAGGTGTAACGGGGCACCCTCAAGCTTGTACTGATGACAGTACAAGCTACTTATTCTGATGACAGTACAAGCTACTTATTCTGATGACAGAATGAGGCGGTGCCGCGTAACTTCACGTACACTGGTACGTGCAGAGGAAGACGGTAAGGAGAAGCGAGCACTCGGTTAAAGTAAAAAGTAGAACTGTATTTATCATAGTTAATGTCTGTTAATAAACCACTGTTAATCCTCATCTAACTATGTCTGAATACAAATGTGCATATCAACTGTCTGCTCACCACTCATTGCGTGCGTCTGTCGTGGAGCGTTTTCGTTGGTTGATATAATGGCCTATATCAACCAATTAGGAACTACTCGTAAGTGCTACAGAATATTTGTCCTTATGACCATATTCTGATAATATAACTCTTACAGTTATATTCTATTAACAATTTCTTATAAATTGTTATGTATCGGTTCACCCCGTTACACTCTCTGACCCACGACAGTTCTAAGGAACTGTCGAGCGCAAGGTGCGGGAGGGGGAAGTCTACAGACTTCTGCTCAGAATGAGAACTGAGCTTATTTAGATTTGTATCAAGGAAAATTCTACTTTTACTACCCTGTTTTATACTAAACTAGATCCAATACAAATACTAATATTCGAACTAAATGGATGGTTGGCACATCACTTAGTCATCAAATGATGACGGCACAAAGCACTTCCATGGTAAGTACCGTAACTCAGAAATACCGACTAATCGGTATTTTCTATTGATATAAAATCTGAGGCCAAACCTGTCTCCAATATTACATGTGGGAGGTCTTCAACCGTTTAAGCCAATGGCTAGTGTGACCCCGTTACATTAAAAGCTTGAGCCATAGAGCTCGCTCCTTTATTTTTATAATTAATTTAAGACAGAAATGTGTAGAATACGTTTTTGATGGGAAAAGGACGATAGGACCCAAAAGCATTACCCATCGGAGTGAAACAAGACATTTCAAGGATAAGATATTACAATCTCCTATTTTTATTGTAAGTTATTTGGCACAGTTTCTCATCCTTTAAGGCTTAATATTTTATATATTCGCGGTGCAAATTATTTATATTTTCACCATGTTCGGTATATTTTCTGTTTTCGCACCAGTAATTGAACATGATTTCGGAACGCAACAGGTTTTGGTTTCTTCTTGATCGTATAAAAAATGAAGAGCACAGCGCACGGAAGCAGAGGGCAGCGAGGGAGGGCGGTGCGTCGAGCGATGTGCCAGCACTTAAGCGAAGAACATGGATGGATGTGGAAGGAAATAAAAGCACTGGAAGCTGGTGCAAACGTTGTGCAGCTGCAGCATGACGTGTTCAGTCTGGTAGAAATCCAGTGGCTGCTTTGTTGCGGCTATAGTTTAATTTACAGTTATGCTTGTTGAACACAATTCCTAGATGACTTTTCTCTCTCGTGACAGGAAGCAAGTGCTGACCTGGCTCAAGAAGTGTATCGGTGTATGTCTTGTGGGTTTCGAGGAGCTCGAGAGGTGCCAAGAGAGCAGTTTGGAGAGACAGAGGACGGAGAGGATGACGGCACTTTTATGGCCCACGCAATCCTTGAAAACCATCACATTGGTAGGATAATTCGATTTCGTTTTCATTAGCGCTGTGCTTGCTTTTGTGGCGATGACGCTTGAGGTTGTGATGATCATTGAGTGTTTTATGATGCTGCAGCTGTTTTGGAGAGGAAAAAGCAGCTCTATTGTGCACGCTGTCGGGACTTTATTTACCCTGACGCTGTGGCTGTGGGAAGTGGTAACCGACGGTGGAAGCGCCACATACGAGGTGTGGTGACACCGCTCAAACTGCTACGACGTGGACTAGTGAATATGGGCAACACGTGCTTCCTGAACTCAGTACTTCAAGTGTTGGTGCACAACCCAATGGTGCAACACTATTTTTTCGTGGCGAAGTGCCATGATATGGAAATCTGCCAGCAACAGCGGAAACGGCGGCTGGAAAAGCGACAGCAACAATTAGACGCTGCGAAGCATAGGCGATGCGATGACGACGACGAAAAAGAGCAGGAAGGCATGGAGTGCGGTATTGATCCTTCCATTTCGGTCTGTCTGGGATGCGAACTTGCTGCCTTTATGGCACTGCTTGTACCCCCTGCCGTCCCCGTTCCACCTCAAGCGCTGAAAGCGTCTCCACTTGCACCGCAAGGCATTTTAGAGGCGATGTGGATTGTCTTTCCGTCCTTTATCGGCACAGCTCAACATGATGCGCATGAGCTCCTGGTCGCACTCCTTGGAGGTCTACATTCCCATACACATCCCCGTGCGTTTGCTCACGGTGGTTCCTCTGCACGGGTTACACCACGTGGACAGAGTTCGTGTGACTGCACGGTGCATCAGCACTTCTCTGGTGTACTGCGATCTCAACTCGCGTGTGTAGGTTGTGGGTCCGCCTCGCGCAAATTTGATCCGTTCTTGGATGTGTCTTTGTCTTTGATTGATGGATTGAACATAATTGGCAATAGTGAAAATGGCGAGGGACGAGGAAGAGAAGAGGTATCGTATGGGCTATCATCTGCGATCAATCTCGAGTCGTTGTTGTTGCAGTATGCAGATAAAGAGGAACTAGAAGGGACAAATCAAGTCTACTGCCGTCGATGCTCGAAGTATCAGAATAGCTACAAGAGCTTGAACTTGCATGTGTTGCCGGATGTGCTCGTTCTTCACATTCGCCGTTTCGACTACTGTCGCCAGCAGAAACTTACGTTAAAGGTGAATTTTCCCCTAATAGGCCTCAACATGAGACCGTACACGTCGGTGGGAATTGACGAGGTCGATGAGCTCAAAAGAGGGAATACGAATGGTCCAGTTCATGGCGGTAATCGAAACGAATATTTGTACGACCTTGTCGCGGTCGTAAACCACCATGGAGACTCGGTGAATGGAGGCCATTACACTACTTACGTGCGTGAAGAGATCTCCGAAAGGACGACAAGTCTTAGCGGCATGGAACAGCATCAATGGATACTCTTCGATGATGTCGAAGTGAAGACGGTTACCGATGTCGAAGTCGAAAGCTCCCAAGCGTACGTTGTTATGATAGAGATTTACGTACACCTTTGCACTTGTCATCACTTCTGCCACTCATTTATCTATGCGTGTGTACAGATACCTACTATGCTATGTCCGCCGGAACCCGTTCGTCGCTGTCGCTGCATGAGCGAATCAGCGAGGATGCTGCGGCTGTGTATACGAAAAAACGATTTTGATGCATCAGGACCTTTGCATTGTCACAATAGTGGTGAGATATCATGGGTCTTTGATTCGAACAGTTAATTGCATGCGGATTGATAGCTCAGGAAGTGGAAAGTCACTGGGCTAAATGCCAATGGAGACGGCACCTCTGCGATGCATCTGCATTCCGACGTTACTAGTGTTTAATGTTGAAATAGGACGGTATGGTGTGCTCGATATAAGCCTCAGTCGAAGATAGTCTCCGTCATTGTTGCTGGTAAAATAAGGATACACCTGCAGCAGAAGCAATGATCGGAAGTGTGCGTACGTCTTGGTGTTCTGATTGGAGGTATGCGTGATGTTGTGGGAATGGAGCTGTGCTATTTTCGATGAATTCACGTCAGCTTGATAGTTGGCTCTTCTCGATACGATGGATGGGTTCGTACGCGTACGCGATGAATCTCTGGTCCCCGACATGTTCTCTCCAACAGCAACCCAAGCCATCCTCTATATTACGCGACATCTCATCAAATATGTTGCTTCTATCGGGGTGCAGCTCATTGTCCCGGAATGTTACTGTTCGAGGCTGAGAAGAGTTAGGCCATAGTTCGTTTGCATGGGCACCGTTCATTCTTTCAGACGGCGTGGTGATTTGTTGTTTGATCAAGCTTACAATACTTTGCTTGTTTGAGTCTTGTTTCGGGTTCTCACCTCCCCTTCTGCTCGGTAAGGAGAAGGGTACATCAAAAGCAAAGTCGCCAGATTGATCGTGTCCGTCTAGAATAAAATTTCATTTTCAGATTTAGAGATCAACCCACTCACTGTGGATTCTAGTTTCAGAGATCTTCTGCAGCGTCTTTTAAATCGTTCAGTGTTACCTCATTTGACCTCTGTCGACACGGCCGTACCGCTGATTAATGGATTGGGTACTCCTGTGACGAGAAGTGCCCAATTAAGTCTTGCGTTCTCCTTCCAATGTTGCTTGCTCTACGATGTGGATGATGGTTAGATGCCCCTGTAATTCCTTTTAAGGCGCTGCAAACGATAGTTAGGTACATTTATAAATCCATCTTGAGATGCTACGCATAGCCGAATGTCGTTGCACATGCAGCGCACTGCGAACAGATTGCCGTAGTAGTAATGGTGTTGATCTCGAAAGGGTATCGCGTGTTCACGCGCAGGGCAAATAGATGAATGGAGTGTGCAAGCTGCTGGTATGTCATTCCGCGTCGCACAGATTTTATTTGATCACCCGTGCGTTTTACGTTGACGTTTTATGTGCATCATACACTCAATCGATAGAACATCAATGAACTACGGTTCGGCATGCAAATTCAAGTGACGGCATCAAGAAAACCTACTTCTGCATCGTTATGAGGTGCTTCACATAAAACGAAGCTTCCAATCGGGGTCGGAAAAGTTGTGGACAACCACGCGTATTTTGTTACCGTTGTTAGTTGTCCGTTGTTACGGCGTCCCAAACTTGTTGTTCGGAAAAGTGATCCACGGGGTCCACGAATTCTGCCGTTCGCTCGTTCCGCCTGCTGCCTCATAGTGCTAGCACTAGCAGGGAATGGCACAGGAAAAACACGACACAACACGCGCCGAGGAGAATCGCGAGCTTGTATTCTGGAGAGCATCACACACGACGCCCAACATAAGTCGCCAGCTTCTAAGCGCACGACACTAGTAGCAAGACCACGCACCGAGTAGCTCATCAATAGCAGCATCTCCAGTTTTCCACTTGACTTCGAGCTCGGTTGATATCGCGATGTAAAAGGCTTCGATGCCGGAAAGTAAGCAAAGCAGACCGTTCCAGAAGAAACGATTCGTCACAGAGCTATGCGCTGCAAAGAACCACGTCACGCCAGTAGTCACAACGAGAGCTCCAACCGTTACTAGCCCATCTGCTGAGTCGGACCGAAGCGATGCTATATCCTAAGTAAGTAAGACAACAAGACGACGTCGTGGTTGTTAGCTTCGCCCGACACATTTCTCCAAACATTAGCGAAAGAACTGACATTGAAACCTGCCAGCGGGCCGTCCGATAGCATCGCAGTCCTTGCGTGGATGAATAGCAGGGTAATAACGAACAGAAGCATCGCCATCCATAGATTTAATCCAAGGCCGACAGTGGCACCCACCACACGCTTTAGACCATCAACTAGGATCGCTCTCCTCGACGTGACAAGACCACCCTCCAAGGAAACTGCATGCCGCAGCAGACTCTTGTCGGCGCCACCACTCACCAAGTATAAAACAGACTCACGTGGATCCACCGGCGGCACAAAGCTCATGCCGGTGATAGCGAACGAGTGCTGCTCCGCTGACTCCTTTTTGTACTGTTGCAACGTGGATGCCAGAAACACTCTGATCTCTCCCGTCACTGCAGCCGCACTCACAAATCGATCATCCTGACTCACACACAGGCTCGCAACAGGTTTGTCTCCAGCAATAGCCATTTCTTCCACCATCCACGACCACTGGTCTTCGTTTTCCTGCGCAACAGTCTCGGGTTTCCATTTGACCAAAATGGAGTCGCCACGAGCAGAGGTCAGCACAGTATACAAGCGACGTCCACTGCGGGCAAAGCGCACACACCGAAACAAGTGTTTGCGTGGTCCCACCGTTGGTTTCGTCGGCAGTCTCTGGAACGCGACATCCAGCGCGTCATCTTTTTGAAACTTGCATATCGGCGTCATTTCCGTCAGTCGCCATAAATGGCACGATTGGTCCTCTGCACTCGACGCCACAAGGTTGCGATGCGAGAGATCCACGTCAATGTCGCGAATTCGCTTCGTATGACCACGATACTCTCTCGTCAGTGTCACCATATTGTCTCGATTGATTACACAGTCGCCAAGCTTTGGCTGCTCTTCTGCCGTCACTTTCGCGTGATGATCTCTCTCGTCCGGCACAATGAGAGCCTTGGACGAACCCACGTCCTTCTCACGCTTATACGGGTCTCGTCGCAACCTCCAAACGCGCACTACTCCATCTTCTCCGCCCGTCAAGATGGTCGAGTTGCCCACGAAGTGAGCACAAGTCTGGGAACTGTCCTCGGGGTGGAAATCCGAGCGAAACTTGACCAAGAGCGTCATAGTCTTGTCCTTCCAGTCCAGAGCGTAGATCCAGCACCCAGCACTAATCGACACGGCCATGAGTTGTCCATCGTGAGAAAACGCGACGCCAGAGGCAAGTTCAACGCCTGTGTCGACGGTGATTTCTTTCGTAAACCCCGTCGCGTCAGTGTCCGAGAGTCGGTAAACGTCCTATTTGGAGTGGAGGTGCATGGGTCCATGTATTACAATCGAAAGGGAGTTTTTTTCGTCGCAGACGGGTAGTATCCGTTATTAGAGGTATGTTACAGACATCGACATGAGGAGATATACAAAGCAAAAGAGAGAGAGAGAGAGACGTACGACGGTGTTTTTGATTCCAGACTTGAGCGAGCCACCGCCACCGCAGATCGCAAAGAAGCCACGGGCGTACGATAGCCCCATGATCGGGTACTTGACCTGCATCGTGCACTTCGCCCTGCCGTGCTGTTCCAACCGCCGGTGCTTTATCCGATAGGATATCACTTTATCGAGGTCTGAGGGTTTGATCTGTGACGTGCTGAATTGGTGAAAAAGTAAGTGAACCTTAATAGTGACAGAGGCCATTATTGGGTGTACATCTTGTTCTATCTTTCGGGTAAAAATAGATGGATGGTATGGAAAAAGCGACGAAAATACTGAGGTGCATGTGTCTCGTACGAACGTTCCTCACACAGTTTTTGTCCGTCCAGCTCGAGGGAATTTCTGTGCAATTTGATAGCGTACAAACGGGGAGGTACGTGCAAGCTGCACCGTTGACTTGATTTGTGTGAGTTGGCTGATAGTGTGGATTCCGAATTAGAGTGACATGCACTATTACTGGTGTGGCACCTGGAGAGCCTGGCGAAAATAGCGTGGATTCGAAAATAGCGTGGATTCAGAATCAGTGTGGAAATGCAGAACCCCTATGCCTAATCACAACCCCTGCGTGTACAGTCTATGCGTATCATGGGTGAGGCTAATCCGTACTTTGAATTCTGCTATTCTGTACTGCAAACGCGTCAGATGTGTTTATAGATAATTAATTAGCGTACAACTTAAGTCTATCCCTGGTATGCTATATATAGAAGTTCAGAGGTGCACAGTTTTTAGAGCTTCGGTTACCTTGTTTTAGTTCTAAATATGTCACTTTTCTGTAAACTAGCTTTACATAAAACCATTCGTGTAGCTTTAGCGGCTTACTATGGCTAAAAGCCGTAGTCCACGCGATGTCATCCAGCTTGCGCTACAGACGTAATCTCTTGCCTTGTTCTTACATCCCAATGCACAACGAGAGGTCGTGGCCTGCTAAGCGTAGGATGTCAGCTGCTGTCGAATTCAACTGAAGTGTTCGCACTCATTTCGTGTGCCCTGACAGAGTCAGCGGGGGTCACTTGGCGCGTCGCATGCGTATGTTTTAGTTCGTAGGAGAGTTCAAAACTGAATGGCGGAGTCAGCTGACCCGGTCGCAAGCACGTTGCCTTCTGTCGGTTAAGCACTGACACAGCGCCGTAATGAGCCTTTCTAGTAGCACCAAGCTTGTGTACCAGTATAGGCCGACCTGCACCAACAATGAGCGCCGCCCAAGCGTCACGCACGTATGCAGCCATCGCACGTGACACTTGTGTGGAGAACGCGGCGCACCTATCACCTGAGTAAATCACGTCGCTGCATGGATCTTCCTTGCCGTGCACGCACATCAGCTTGTGTCTATACTTGACACCCAGACGTCGCGCTTGTGCGACAGCTTGACCAAATCTACGATTGTCGCTTGATCTTCTCTCCTTGTTATCCCGTCCGGCATCGTCGCAGCAACAGCTGTGGTGCGAGATCCGTCTGACTTCGTCATCAAAGCTTCGAATGCATCCGTCGTGGTAACACGTGAAGTCCTTAGTGTGGTGTATGAACGATCATGGACGACGGTCTTCTACGTTGCTATAGCACTAGCATTCGTGTAATGTCATTACTCCGTTGTGTTTTATTGCACAGAAGCCATCTCAGTCTTGTGCTCTGGCTTGTTTCACTATCTCATGTTTGATCTTTAGCCTGTCTTGGCATCAAACGCAAACTTTGATAGTGCACTTGACGACGCCGATGACTACAACGCCTGGTCCTAACATAGAATTGCCAACTACTGCTTTCAGTCGCCGCACAAGTTGCGTGTGCTCCCCAACCAGGCACACTCGCTGTCGGACGTCCAAACACGATTTCCCCCATATTCCTCTGCACCACTTACAGCTGGTGTCACAGCCTCCAGCTTAGGCTTAGCACTAGCTCCATTTAAAGGAAGCTCTACAAACTCTGCACTCCTGAACTTCGATGTATAGCATATAACCGATAAAATTAAATTCTAAGCGAATTACTTGCAGGTAAAAACGTTTGATGCGTTTGCGGTACATAACAGCAAAATTCAAAGTACAAATCAGCCTCGCCTATGTATTATCCCACAGTCATCCACGACCCATGACAACGCTACCCCCCCTTCTGCCCCCACAAACCCTAAGGGATTCCCTGCTTCCCCCCCAGATTGGCGTCCGACACCGCCTCGGGCTCTAGCACCGGTCGCTGATATACTTGATAAACGTCGAGGCCATCGCCTCTCCATCGCCGATTGTAGCGGCGTTTGCACTCAGAAAAGCTCTTCAGACAGCCGAAGTTGCTAATCGAGATCCTACAATTTACATCAACAACGATGCCGAAGGCGCTCGCAGCAACGTTGGAGGCATAAACGAAGGTGATTTTGAAGGCAGAGCGTGTGAACTAGGCGTCGGCACTAATCCACGCAAGCGCTAGTTACAGAAAGTCTCGGTAATCAGCAAGCGTGTCGAGGTTATAAAGTGGATGGTATAGGATGCCAATGCAAACGGAGACAAAGGTGTTGTCCCCCGTACAATTAACCAGATCACGTCCAAGTTCAATGGCAAATACAAAGTTATTATATAATTATTGTGTATCCAGGTTAAACGATCTTTCGTCATATCTGATATGTGTACATTGCAATATAATTTTCAAAGGCCAATCATACGAAATGTACTTGGTGGTGGACGTCTCGCGCAGAGGTGGACGACCTTGACAAGCTTAATGTCAAGTCAATGTCAACTTTGACTGGATCGGGTCGCAGGCACGTAGCAATCAAGGCGATCGCTGGCCGTACACCATCGATCGCGGCGACGCGCTGAATGTGTTGATACGATATATAACATCGCAGCGTTCAGCCGATCTAAGCCACCAAAATATTCTTTATTCCAACATAGTTCGCTGTAAAGTTTCAACCCACACATGTTGATCCCGCTGACGACATCAAGGTTATTGACAAGATCAAACGCTCTTGGTACAACATTTCATGGGTACGTTGTGTATATTAGCAGCTAAATATATATATACAGCTGTAACGGGGCACCCTGAAGCTTGTACTGATGACAGTACAAGCTACTTATTCTGACGACAGAATAAGGCGGTGCCTCGGAACTTCACGTACACTCGTACGTGCAGAGGAAGACGGTAAGAAGAAGCGAGTACTTAGTTAAAGTAAAAAGATGAACTGTATTTATCATAGTTAATGTCTGTTAATAAATCACTATTTATCCTCATCTAACTATGTCTGAATACAAATGTGTAAATCAACTATCTGCTCACCACTCATTGCGTGCGTCTGTCGTGGCGCGTCTTCGTTGGTTGATATAATGGCCTATATCAACCAATTAGGAACTACTCGTAAGTGCTACAGAATATTTGTCCTTATGACAATATTCTGAGAATATAACTCTTATAGTTATATTCTATTAACAATTTCTTATAAATTGTTATGTAACGATTCACCCCGTTACATCACCCCCCCTTAACCATCAGTCACTTTAGTGACTGATTGACTAAATGGATACTCGTCCCAAATCATTTGGGACAGGGTTTGCACTTGTTGGTCCGAGTCCACTTTCCAACAGTTCATCGCATGGTTAACAAGCCCATGCGGTGCGCGAGCAAGGCCGCCGAGAGCGCGTCCGCACGTCTCTGTGCGGACGCCGAAGCAGAAACCGCAGCAACTGATGTCTCATCGGTTGCTGAAGCGACTCAGCCTGTGTCACCTGGTGATGCAGGCGCTCGTCATGAAGACACTCATGTCTTCACAGAGTATGAGCTCGGTGTCTCATACTCTCCTGATACGGAAGACGGATCCGTATCGACGGCGATCGAATCCAAGCCGCCTGCCAAGCGTGGCATGGATGATGCTATGCGTCGTAGCATCTTTGGTTCATCTGATGAATCAGATGAACCATCGCCGAAGCGAAGGCGCTCGAGGTCGCAAGACTCGGGCGCTCACAGTGGTGTCGGTTCTCCTATTGACACCACTTCGCAACGAGGTGCCAGTACTTCTGTCGGCACGTCGCAAGAAGAGCGGGACCGCAGTGTGTTGCGTCTCGCTCCCGAGAAGAAGGCATGGATGCCTCCCAAATCCGTCATGGATCACTTGTCGGCGACGACGAGTGATCGTTATCGAACACGATTGTTCGATTCGTCAAGGATCCATCACCTTGACCCCAGTGCGAAAAACTATCGCGCTGAGAATGATTTCTTCATCGATGCTTTCTTTAGACATCGATGGTACAGTGGGAATCACAAACGTGATGGTCCCTCACTGCTTCAAGCGTGGAACGCCTACATCCATAACCTTGAGGATGTAGGTCGTGACGTTTGAAACGACAAACTTATCAAAGCTCGTGATAAGTTTGACAAGCGAACCCCGACAGGTGCACGCTACAAGCTGCATCGTCTGTCTAAGGAGAGTGGGTTGCCCTGTCTCTCCTGGGGAGACTCGTGTCCATGTTGTGTGAACAACTCTGCGCGCGCACCTAAGGAGGCTTACCTCCTTACTAGCCCGTGGTGTCGCGCACGTATTTCTAGTGAGATGTACACGAAGGGATTGACAACTTGAAATCCCTTTACGACCGTGCCGGGAAGACTTTCTCCGGCGGTCCTTCTGCGGCACAGGATGTGCCGCGTCGTACTGCTCGACCAGACCCAGTACGTCAACCATCATTTGGGAGCAGGGCTCCCAAGTATCCCAGGACGGGGGATAACCGCGCCACCGGACGAGGTAACTCGTCCGACGTCCGTTCACATCGCGGTGGTTCAACAGCCGCTCAATCAGATAGCGCTGGCCACCGCGAAAGTCCTCCAATGGAGGTGGAGGAGGAGGAAAAACGCTCCAAACTATCGTGGGGGAGCGTGTGTCTCCGAGAGCTTCTTTGATCGCGTAACGCAAGGGTTACGCGGCGATCTCGAACATGAGCGTGACAGGCGTCTCCAACTGGCGGACACTGTCTCGAAGCATCGAGCTGAGTTTGCCTTTGCTCAGCTTGAGAACGAGAGAGCTCTGACATCTCTTTGTGAAGAGCTAAGGGTATCTCCTGTGGATATTGATCGGTCTCGGGCTGAGATAACTGCTCTTCAGACCCTTGTCGATGCCCACCATCGGGAGCACAAGGCTCTCTGCGAGATGCTTGAGCGCAAGGGCGTTCTTCATCGGAAGAAGCAGCGTACTGATGGTACGGCTTAAGCCGACCAACGTAAAACGTGGGATGCGTTCGCATCTTACGTGGTAACTCGATCGTGTATGCATTGCCTAGGCGGTGCAATACACGAAATGGGCCGATGTACTTGGGTAGAAGTTTACTACTACCCAAGTTAGTCACTACATGCTTTGGTAGATTAACCGTAGACAGTAGGACTAAGTCACCTTTATTAAATAAAAGAGTGTTTGCCCTTCCATTCTTGTCAGCGTTTTGCTTTTGCTTATCCACCGCTTCGGCGATGGGGTCTTGCACAAAACGGACTACCGTTTCACGAGCCAGTATGAACTCATCTGATGACTCGTTAGCTTCAGTGCGCTGTGAGTGCACTGCAGCAACATCAATCTTTTCTTCAGTGAGGGCTTCCGCGCTCTCACTGGCATCATCTTCTTCGATATCGATGTTATCGA